ATAGTGGTTGCTCACCCTACTCAAGTACGCAAAGCTCTTGCAGTGTTGGATAAGTATATGACATTTTTCCTAGGTCAAAACTTTTTGGGAAGAAACTGGATGTTTTATCAACCCAACATTTATGATCTGGAAGACTCTACAAAATAGCTCACTTGGCTCATTCAATGGTATTGGTTGCCTATTAGAAGCGATTGTTGAAAGTTTAAAGAACCAAAAAATCTCAAACTGCTTGACTTTTTTGGAATCCAGGAAACATTGATTTACAATAGTGCTTCATAGGAGATCGGCTATGCTGATAACCATCCCTATGATAGAGGCTTACTTTAAGATTACAGTGGATGTATTCGTACCCGTCAAAATTACGGATTTTCAAAAAGTGGTCTGTTGGAGTTAATTCACTTGTTGAATACAAAGCATATCTTCGCACCAAAAATGCTCTACATAAGTAGATATGTTATTTGTAATAACCATTATTAAACCCATTGAACAATTTGTAGGCAGACCAATGATTTTGACCCTGTAGCATATACCTATATTGAGGTACGTTCTTGAGGAGTAGACAAGATTTTCGAGCATTGCTCTTCACCTTACAAGATGGCGTCATCGAAATTCCGAGTCTCTCTACACGAAAATCAAATCATCTTTGGCAAGCTATAGAACTTAGAAGAGAGTTTTGAGGCGTTTTGGCTGTATAAGACCCTACAACATAATAGAAGAATAAATGTACTATATACTAGTTGCTCTTCTATTTGCATCCTATCTATTCGCCGCGTTTCATTGTTATAAGTCCACTTTGTTTTTGCAGTTAGGGGTTAGAATGAATATAAAGACTTTATATTAATTTGTTAATCAGTAGGTAAAACTTTTGTAAGCCAATTTCCATCTTGATTTGTTATTTGAAAGTTTTCCAAAGGAATTTCGTTGGAGCGCTTTTTAGGTCCACTCATTAAAAGATTATGTTGCTCGTCTTCTTTTTGCCCACTGTCTGTCCTTTTTTTGTTTATTAGAACCTAAAAACTTTCGCACTTTGATCAAACAATTGGAAATAATTTTACCTACTGAAAACGTGAAAGCCCAACGAGACTGGAGGTCGTGGATGTCTACCACGGGTACTGCAAAGTTACATCTATGCATTCGATCTTGATGTTTTTTATGGCGTGGCTAAGGACTACTTTCAGAACCCCATGAACATGTCAAAACAATGTACAACACCGCTCATAACTTCTGCAGAAAAAAAAATAACAATCTGTCCCAAGCGTCCTATTGTCATAACTTCCTTCAAAATGGAAATGCAGAGGCTATAGATTTTAAGCCTGCTGAGAAACTTTTCACCCAAGGCCTTTTTTCCAATCATCATCCAGATGTAATTAACGCTTACATTGAGAAAGGAAGTCCTTTTTAGTCGTGCGAGGGTAGATAGTCAAATCGTATGAGTGATTCAGCATTTGTGGCATGACAACGAACTCCCTCATTTATTGTGAGACGAAGGGTCATCTCTGGTCAA